AATTATAATTGACACAAGAAATTTTTAACCATAAAGGTTTTTGACTATTCTTTTTGCAAATGTAAAATTTAAGCTTAAAAAGACTTAAGAATAATTTAAAGTAATATACATTGACTATTTACTATAATATAGTTTATCATAGTAATACAATTTAAAATGTTTATTTTGTTCACGTTAGCGTGGAAGTAGCATTGCAATCAAGTACAGTTCTGCTTATTATTTTATCGGTTTCTTCGGTTTTTACTTGCTAGGCATTTACTGGTGAGTAAGCTAACTGCCAACCTTTTAGAAAATTACATTAAATGTTTAAATTATCAACGTGATATATATAAAACACATAACTGCTATACCTACAAACTCATATTTTCATGATAGAGTAGGCCTCGAGCTCATTACACACAACTTCTAAACTTTTAGAATGAAGTCTTACCAAAAATCGTTTTCCTGCAAATGTATTCACAGTGCCCATTAGTCTGGGCATCGCCCAAAAAGCTCCGCGTCCAGCGCATGACCGTGTCCGTGGTGGCTGTATCGAGCGTTTTCCCGGGCTGGTATTGATCCGAAACCGGCAAGATGGCCTCCGTCTGACAGCACATTGGTGCATGGGTCCGATCCCCTATCGTTTACGCTAGACTTGCACGGCATGATCTCCCTGCTGCGCCCCTTCCCAAGGCACCAGACCCGCTTGATCTACGATCCAATAGAAGGATACAAGCTTTTCAAGCTAAAAGCGCCCCAACATCCTCTTGAAATAAAGCTCAGTTTCGTGCAGCTTTTTAACTACGTGCTTAGAGTCTGGAATGGATTCCGGGAATAAAATAAATTGCAAGACATGCTTGCTATCTCAGAAGTTTTTAGAGACCGCCTGCAATATCTGGCGAACTTCCAACCAAGAAAATTTGTTGGTTTTTTTGGAGATGAGCAAACAGAATCGTAAAAGAAAAATGATTGTGTCAAGAAAAACAGGTTCTGGGGTAATTAAAATGCTAGAGATTCATAATTTTACTCATTACTTTAATTATTATTTGCAAAGGTTTGTTACGTGAAAATGCAGGTGCAAGTAATTATGTAAGAAGGAAATTGAGTTGTGGTTGGGAGGCGGCTTGGGAGAATTATTTGTAATTACATATACTTACTATTTGAAATAAATAATGCTAATGTATTTGGAAAAAGTGCGTCATTCTGTAATCGCTTCTAAGAAATATACTTTATTTAAAATACTGATAAAAGTGATAGGTGATAAAACACGTTTTGGAGAAAAAAGTCAACCAAAAGTAAATAGTTATTTATGTTATAAATTAGTAAAGTACATTTTTTTTTACAAGATGGAAAGCGAGCAAATCGAGTGAGCAAATCCGCCGGTTAAAAACATATACTTACTTTACTGACGAGTTCCATACAAAAAATTTTTCACGTTCATAATAAAAATTAAGAGCAGCTTTTTATTTTGAAACATTGATATTAAATGTACAATTAACTAATACAATTTTGGGCACGAAATTTTGAACATCAAATTTATGTCATTTCAAAAAATGTCAATCTAAGCCACGCTTTATTGTCATTATGACTGACGTTTGAAACCAACATCAAAGGTTTTAGTTAAAATTTATTTTTGGCATCGATTTTCCGAAACAATAACAATACGTGTTTTTATAAGTTCAATAAATTATTTTGATTTGTTGTCATATTTTTTCTACCCGTCAGGATAAAAATTACAAAAACCAAAAGTGAGGTTAGTTGCCTAAGGCCTATTTTACATTTTTATGTCAATCGAATGACAAATCGTTCAAAATTCCATGTCCGAAACAAACAAAGAACAATACAAAGGCTCAAGTATAAGAACTAAATTGCAAAATTAATTTCTGACAAGTGTCAAGTGTCATAGCAAAGGCAGCTTTTTATGACACGCTATACTTGATGAAACGCTATGGCACTTATTTCACGCTTCCCATCACTGCGATGAAACAAACGTATTTTTTATAAACAAAAATTAATGAAAAATCTTACACTTTTTTGACGGATGTGAAAAAAAACTTTATTATATTCAAAAGTGATTTTTCGACAATTTAATAGAAACAATATATTTAATTCAATTAACTGTTTAGGTAGGTTTAATCAAATATACATATTTTTAAACCTATTGTATAGCTAACTACCTAATTTATGTACTTTAAATTATGTTTTGATTTGATTTTTTTGCATTTTAACGTTAAAAAAACGAAATAGTTTTTGATGTGATATTTAATTTTTATTTAATCATATCCAAACTGTCTCCGTGTTTGTTATGGCAACTATAACAGCCTAGGATGTTAAAAGCCATAAACGGACGTTGTTATGAAAAATGCACACTTAAAAGGCTACTTGCGCCAAGTGTGATATTATTTGAAATTATGAGTTTGAACAATTATGCCAAAATCTTTTAATCTTCAAAAAGTATATTAAAGAACGAAGGTATATTAAACAACATACCGCCGATGCAAAAATAACAGAGGCGATTGATACAAACTTTATTTAGTCATAAAAGTGGTCACTTTTGTGACGTTTGCGGTAAAAATGTGTTTATTAATAAATTATACACATAAAATTTTACAAAAAATTTAATTGTTTTGCAAAATCTTGATCACTTACGTTACTTCTTCCGCAAATAAAATCATTATCTCGCAACTTATTAATTTATGTAGCAAACACCTATACATAGACGTGTAAATCATAATGAGTAAAATCAACAGCATAGAACTGACACTTTATATTTACTAATTAGTTAATGCCTACAATAGTTTGAAGTTTGAATATCCGGAGATAAAAATACGTACGTACCTAAAGTACGTTATGGTTGAAATATTTTACTCACTCTCTTATTAATTTCTTGATTGTTTACTTGATTTTTCTTCTTAGATTAATGTCTAGACGCAGCTAATAAAATCTTACCTTAAGTAAGAGGGAGATTATCTTTAAAACGTTTTTATCAAAATATGTAAATCGCCTATACCACTCATTAAAAACTCAGTTAATTAATTAAAGATAAAGACTTAAATTTACAAGACGCTTGTCTAATTTAAAAACCACGTTTTTGGGAATAAAACTTCACAACAATTCTTAAACCAGACTGAAAATATTTTGACAGTGGAGGCCCAACATTTACATGTCCCTGAAATCAATTACACCCGTTTTAGGTCAGCTTTCACCGATTTTGAATCACTTTCGCTGCGAAGGGTTGACCTAGAAATTTTTTCTACCAACGGAAAATATTGTTCAGGTAGATACACAAGTGTCATATGGACGTTATTTATTCTGCAATCTGCATGAATTCACACTTCAGTTATAAATATTTATCGACTTTGCACTGGGTGTTTGAATTTGAATGGAAAAATTCACAACAAGTAACGAAACGAATCAAGTAAATTATTTGAATTATTTTTACATTGAAGTAATTTGTAAATTTTTCAGTGATAATTTTGCACAAAAAGTGATAAATCATCTTGCGAAAAATTTATTTATAAAACAGAAACGATTCGTGACCAAACCGATTCGCTTAAATCCAATTTTGTTTTTCGGATGAGTTCGCTTGTTGTGGGTGTAGGTACACCAAGCTCAAGCACCTTCTAACCTTGGCTAAGAAATTAAAAATAAATTTGCTCTTAAGGTGCGGCTCGAAAACATAAACTTCCCAATCTTATTGCAGAGCTTGACAACTATAATATCCAGTATATTGTAAACGTGGTGTCAGAATGTGAAACGGTCTGCACGTATCCGAGATAACGTGAACTAAAATAAGTAGAATTTTATGTCAGTGAGGCGTGACAACATGTAAGGCATTCCCCGATAAAAATAAATATAAAAAGCTACTTCGCTCTTCTGTTTACTGAATTTGTGGGCGACATCTTTCGAACTTTATTATATTTTACTTGAAATAATGGCACACGTCTTATCGAAAATCTTAGAGCTGGACCAGACTCTCATGCATATGCAAATGGAACAACAAATTCTCTTGTAATCGTTAAATTCGAATTTTTATGATCGTTATGTGCCAAGAAATTTTGATTTAATCAAAGCACGATTTCTAAAAAAATGGATGTATAGTTCTAGAGCAATCGGCGAAAATATGTTATTTTTCCGCACCAAAATTTAAAAAAAATCGAAGTCAAAATCGGTTTAAATGCTGTTACTGAGAGATTGTAAAATAATAAGTGTATCTTGTATCTATTTCACAATCAAAGATGGATAGCTTTTTAACAGAAAATTGGATAATTAAGCACTCGACTTCCTAATGTTTCCTACAGATAAGGTAAATTACTAGATTGATTTCTAATCTTAATTCGTCTAATAAAACGGGGTCACCCTTTAATTGTCGTCATAAATTTTTCTAAATCTAATTTACTATTTACTAACGACGAACTAAAACACATTTTGTTAGAAAAATTCTGCATTTTAGTGTTTTCTGGTTGAAGCATCTAAATTGAAAAAAAAATGTGTCTTTGGCTCGAATTGTTGTTTAAGTGTTAAATTAAAAGTAAAGCGACGCAAACAAAAGCTTGTAATTAAGTAAAGGGTAATAAAATTCGGCTTAGAATACGTTTCTGTTAACACTTAACAAAATGAACGTCTATAAATAGAGCCTTTATTAAGTAACGCAAAATAAATGGAGAAGTGTGTGAGTGGAGAAGCCTAAGCCTAGTTTAATATATTTTCAGGCTAAAGCGAAAAATATAAATCAATAATAAACTTGTTTTGCTGGTATTACAATTTTGTTTTCGTGTTCATGTAGCTTCTTCATAACGCAGTTTTTAACTTACTTAAGTACAACACTTGTTTATGATGTATAGGTATTCGGGTATTCTCAAACATTTTTAAGTAAAACTTATGGTTTTTGTGATTGGATAAACACTTTTTAGTTTTCTTAGCTACGATATACGATGCTATAATTTTATTAGCAACTAATCTATGAAACCTTCCAGATTTTTCTTCTCCCAAGCATGGAGTAAAGAAGACGTTTTCGTGCGAGTTATCTCCCATCTGCTTGGCCAGCCATCTTAGGTGAGTCGACATTTTGTTCTTTTTGCGGCCACATCTCGAGTAATTGGAAAGGCAAGGCGGAGTCCTTGTTGACATATTTATCTGATACAGCCGGTTTTATCAGGCGCGGTTCTGGTTTCAGAACTCGTATATGTCAACCGCCTTCATTAACTATACGATCTAATGCATTCGCTCGGAATATTTTTATTTCCAAAGGCATGCTGTCGAGGAGATCCAACGTTTTAATTAATGGCCGCCTTTTCAGGTATGTGGAAATATGGTCACTATGAGGGACGTGGGAACGCAAAGAGGGACAAATTATGGTTAGGTTTTTTAAAGACTAAATCCAGAAGTTTCGGTTTCTTGTTCATACTTGATTTATGACACACAATTGCAGATAAACTTCACTATAAATCATACCAAATTATGTGCTAAATTAATCTAAAAATTGTACTCAGCAGGTGAATAAATACTACAGGTGTACCTACCACTTTTAAATTGAAGAGAGGTACAAATTAAAAATTTTAATATCCTGTCAAGTTTTTAAATTAAACTTGGTACATAATCATAAATATAAGACTTTACTTATCGATTTATGCAAATTCTCTCTGAGAGAAATCGCTTCAATTATCCCTGAAAAAAGTTCATTTACGCGAAAATGCTGATTTATTTTAATGCGTTTTTTATGTCCCGGCATCCATTTTGTTTAAAAACGCTGCCATAAATTATTGTTAGGGCCGTTTTGAAGAAGTGTGAGAGCGAGGAGCCCCGGGGTGTTCGGCCATATGCAAAAACAGAGATAAGATTTGGGTTCTAAAAGTAAAAGGGTATTTTGCGAAAAGCAAAAGCGTATCTAAATTTCGGCTTTGTTATGCTGAACACGCCTGCACCCTTATTTTACGACGGGGGTTTTCATTTCCGAAGGTTATATTTTTTGATAGTACCCTTTGAATATGCCAAGATTATGCAAGGGAGAGCTATTTAAATGAGCAGGCTATTGTTGATTCGAGTCAACTATTCGGATGCTTTTGTGGCTTTCTGAGAAAACGAAAACAAGAAAAAAGAAGTGGATGCCGACAAGTTGAGTGCTCTAGAATTATAAATGCATCATAAAACAAATAAAGACACGAGAACTTTTTCTAGATATTTTTATTTAAAATTAAATGTCTTGTGTTCAATTGAGGCCGCTTTAATGTCCTTCACTCCTCATATCGTCAGCTCCATTAATCCTAATGTCTACAATAAATCACAATAACCATTGCCAGAGTCATTATTAAAGACCAATTAAAACTTTAACAACTCGACATCAATCAAATATGTATAATGTTGCAAAAACAAGTTCATTCATGGTTCCACTACCCAATAATTTGTTTCAAAACCGCACCGATTATTTCGAAAGCCAATAGATAAAATAGGCCATAACAGTTAGCTTTATTATCGCAACAATAATCACTTGCTTAATTGCAACTTAAACCGATTATCATACCCAAACCGTTTTTATAGCGATTTAAACCAAATTGATGTAAACAAAGCACAAACATTTTATTATTTATGACACTCTTGTTATAATTGCGATTTTATGTCTTAATTTAATGAGATTTTATGGTTTCGTTAGTGCCATAATAAATTATTACTTTAGTGGTTTATTGCTTGACAAATTAAGAAATTTTGACAAAATGGTTGATTCACAAATTTAATTTACAGTTTTCTTAGAAAAGTGTGGGGAATCCGGGGGTTCAGACAGTAGGGAAGAGATGGCGCTGGGACAGATTGTGTTGGAAGAGAGATCAATGATAGGTTTGAATTCTAATACTCAATTAACAATGCTATATTAGAAATAATAAAACTTATATTTATATTTTTTGGTAAATTAATATTCATTCATTAATATTTATTATAATATAAAAAACAATGGAAAAATTCTCAAAAAAAATACATGTATTGAGAAAAAAACATAGTTTTTAATGACAAACGCTGATTTTTGTGTAACTATTAGTTTTGGTTTTAAATTATAATATACTTTCAACAGAATCACCCAGAATCTCTTAGTCTAGTAATTTAATTTATATTTATTTTACTAAATATTTATTTAGAATTGGTGTTCAAAACTTTTTTAAATACTTAAATAATTAAATAATTTTAGAAATACTATAAATTTATGAACACAGAAATTTAGTAACACTTAAAGTAAAAAAAAAAGTAAAACAGATAATAATAAATAGATAATACAACTTTACATTAAAATTTAATGGATTTAGTTCTTACATTTGTAATTAACAAATTGCTCTAGAACAATTTATTTTATAAAAAGTCAAAAGATACTATATTAATATAAAAACAAGTTTTATAAAATCAGTCTTGAAGCACAAATTCAAGTTTAACGAACGGGTGGCGCAGCTACGAGTTATTTTAAAGGATGAGTGCTTCAAGGCCTTATGAAACGAGTTTTCGTTTATACCATTTTTTCTATTTTGTTTTCTTTATGCCATTTATAAAATCAAAATTTGAATTAGTCGCGTTTTAACTATTAAGATATATCGCACATGATAACGTCACGTTTTTTAATATGTCTATTAGAGAATCTAAATGGAGGCAAAATAAAGAGTTAGAATAAAAATTCAAAAATTGCATAACATATATGAGTTGTTTACTTGTTTCAATGTAAATTTAACAATTTCTAAATTATTTATTTTAAATTTTAATAATGAATATTTGTTTTGTACTCTATGCATAAAACACTTTCTATTACTAAAATGTAAGACTATAAATTTAATTTAATTTTTAACATAATAATACTTACAAAATACTTACCGGATTGTTAGTTAGTTAATTTAGGTATAATTTTATTAACTACAATTTTTTTTATGAAAATTAAATAATTTACCTATTTACCTACCTAAATAAATGTTTGCATATAAGGTATACGATTTGGAGAGAAATTTAATTTCTAAACTAAATATGTACAATAAAACGTTGTAGATATAAGTAAATATCTAAATCCAAAAATAGTTTTTGGTATACACTTATAAAAATAGAAATTTTACGGATACATTTAAGTTCTCTAAAAAGGCTTTTTTATGGTGATTCAAAATTTGAAGCTCACTGTTTTTGAAAAATTTTTGTTTTGATAACCTTACCTAATCATAAATACTTAATAGGTAATAAGTGTGAATGTGGTTTGAGAGCTTTAACAAAAACATGTTGTAAAACCTACCTAAAACGTTTTTGCGGATAGCAACGCTTCAGGTACTTGTACAAATTAGATATTTTGTATGTTAGTAACTAATTTAATTACAGTGTTTTTCTTTTGGTTTTCCTCTTTTATCAAATGTATTTCACTATTTCTCAAAACTATTTCCCCCCTACATCGTTTTGAAATTAATATATCAAATGAAATAGTTTTGAGTAATAGTGAAATACATTTGACAAAAGAGGAAAACCAAAAGAAAAACACTGTAATTAATAATTTAATAAAAATTGGCATTGAAATCAATACCTAATACCTAATAGAAAAACAAGTAAATACCTAAAAACTTTTATTTACATAATTTTAAATTCATAATTTTAATTCCAATAATTATAATTATTTTTGTAAATAAAAGTTTTTTGTAAGAAAAAGAATTCAATTCAACCTATGCTTAGTTTAATATACCCACCTTTTCTACACATAACTCAGTCAATGAATAAAAAAATAACAAAAATGAAGTATGCTACTAAAATCTTTTTCTAGATACTAACTACAAGGTTTATTTATTTAAATTAAGTTAATCTTAATATTAATTTGTACTTATCATCTCCTTGCTGCTTGTTTTTTTGTGTAGGCATACACTACATTGTAAAATTTTGTTTTATACAAAAATTTCTAAAATAATTTTTATAATATCGTCACAACTTTACATTTTGAGTAGAATTTGGGTACCTATCTTTCAACATTATTGCTAATTACAGTTAATTATTTAAGTAATAGTTCGGGTAAATATCCCTTGTATTAACATTAGTCATGCGACCATTTCCTAAATGATGAAAATGCAATTATCACGAGAAGATAAACCCTCGTAGCCTCTTCCCACCGCCCCGAAATTGTCCTCCCATTCTCCCATTTTATGTAAATAAAGAGTTTCTCTTCTCCATTTCTCTACGTTATTATAATTCTGCGTCCATTTCCTTTAAATTTCCTATCCACGTAGCCACACAACTCGAGTTATCCTTTTGCGCTCTGATATTCAGCAGACAATACGCCGAACGCTCGTCCATTGAAATGCAAAACAGTTTCCCTCTTCTTAATTAAATTGCAGCAGGTTCGAGCTCCGGTTAATTTCCTCCTTATCGTCGTCCAATTTCCATTACAGGTGCGGGAGGTCATGACTGTAACAACATTTGTTTAAAAACACCGCCTTATTATTATTAACAAAAATAAAAAAATTAAATTAAAATAATTAAAGTAGGAATTTTTGCTTCCCTCGTTAAGGCCAACTTTTATTCGGGCTATCTGGCATTTACGGCATTAATTCGTTTAACGAGGCAACTGTTCTATTTCAGCATGTGTATGGTGGAAGAACGCAAGGTAATTAAGGCATTCGAGGCATTTAAACTTAATGAACGTTACGCGTCACCACCTTTTGGGACGGAGATACACTAAATACTAAAGTACACGTTTGATAAACAAGCGCGTAATTCCGTAATTAATGAAGAAATACAACAAATGTTATTACAAGGTTTACAATGATGTTTTGTTTAATTCGTATAATTGGAAACATGCACAAGGGCAAAATTATGCGAGCTATTTTAGCCAGCATGATGTCACTTTAATATAAATGTATCAAAAGTGCAACAGTCTGCAAACATAAATTATATCTGCAACAATGTCTGCAGCTTGCAGATAACACTTTCATTGCATCCTTGGAATCACTTTACATATTTAGACATGATAAAAATAGTGACAAGGTGGGTCTAAGGTGGAGAAGGATGAATGTCAAAAAGGGAAAAAATTTGAAATTGATGACTGAACATAAAGTTATTGCGAAATCTGTGTTTCCTGTAACAATGAATCGAATTTGCAAGAAATACAACAATGTTGAAGATTGATGTATTGTGTCGTTAAACAGTTAAACAATTATTTTACATTTTTTCAGTCGGGTGAAAAATATTCCTACCTATGTAGATATCCCTGTATCAGAGAATAAAAAAAGTTATTAATAGTTGATAGTGTAACTATGATACAAGAAATCAATGCAAAAAATACAATGCAAAAAATAAAATAAAAAGTTTTCGATATAAATAGAAATTACTATTTTAAAAAAATAAAAATTGTTAAGAAAAAAGTTAGAAATCTAATGGCAATAAAGAGGCAAATTATTATCAATTCCTCAAAACCTTCTATCTTTACAAAAAAGTTAAATTTTATGCAAAATATTTTCTTTATTTCACTAGACGATAAAAGACTACTTTATCTATTGAAATTAGCACTCTCTAACATTGAGTACAAAATAAAAATAATTAGCAAAACTACACCTGTATTAGAGAATGACCTAAAAAAGTAAAATTGAAATTGTAAAAAAGATAATCTTTAAACTTGATTTCACTCTGAAAGAAAGCTTCTCTCGGTATACCTAGCTTATATTAAAAAAAAAATTATGATAATGAACATTTTAGCAAAGTTCACAGCTTTAATGAATCTCAGTATTCAGAAGGCACTAAAACCGAGCATAAGTGACAACAGGAATAATACTTAATAATGTTTGACTGCCCATAAATCAACTTAATGAAGAAGAGATTGAAATTGTAGATTCAAGCTTTTAGTTTAACTTGAATTACAAACAAAATCTAAATAAAAAATGGCGGAATGACATTACCTGACAAAATTCTATTAGACCTTTCTCGATTTATTATCAAGTAAATCAATACACAAGTCTCTCCAAATAATCGGCATCATGCACTCGGTTTATTCGTTTATTGAACCCTAACCTGCCTGCAAGGTAGGTGAAAATTCAATATCTATTTGATTTTATGTAGGTATAAGTATACTTTAATATCTAGCAATTCTCATACCTGCACCGAGATTTTTTCCGAAGTAAATCGTTTTCTTTTTTTTTGTTTTTCAGACACTTCTGTAATTGCAGTGTCTATTTTACGACTCTTAAAAATAATTTAAATTGTTGAAAAATGCGGTAAGAGAAGTTGTCAGGTGCATGCCAAGCTTGTTAAGGCTCTGGTTACTTCATTAATTTGAAACTTAATGACAAATAATAAAACTAAAAATACACAGTTTGTTAAGGTCTTCCAAGTGTATCTACCTAACATCATCCAAACCTTCAAAATAAAAATTTATAAAACTAATATCTATCATTTACCCAGCTGAAGAATATTTTATTTTCCAATATTTTTAAGCATCTGGCTTTCCAGTTGGCCGATTTCATATCAGAAGGTACTCCGAGATTGTAAAAGCTCTTCTACAGTTTAATACTTGCAATTTGTTCCTCGAGTAACTCACGTATCCGTTGAAAACGACCACCCAAGTCGCTGACGTCACTTTTCTGACTGCTGATCTTCCTAATTACTTTGCTCCAAGCCAATTTGGTTAAACTCGACTAAAAATTTATTGCTAATTAATTTGAGAGGGCTAAAAGATCTTGAAGCTGGGATCAATACCCCAACCAGAAAGATCAAGTGCAGACGAAAGATAAGAATTACCAGCTTTTGCATTTTTTGCCCAAATATTTCACTAATACTGTAATGGTCCCAAATAAACAAGTAGCAGATATTTTATGAAGTAGCTGTAATTTGTTAAGAATATAAACACTTCCACTACTTTACTGCTAAATCGATCATAAAGTCGTAACTTTAATGTTTTATGGGCAAACCAGGTGTTTAAGCTACAAGTGGTTCTGAATTCGTAATATTTTTTACACACATCGTCAGACATCACCGAATTTTGCTCCAAATCTGTCTAATAACAGTACAATAAATTAAACAATTTATTCAGCGTCATAACTTTACGACCACCATTTATGTTTTTATTATAAAATATATCAAAAGCTTCTAATAAATGTATTTCAAGTATAATTTTATTGCAGTTGGCAACAGCTTTCAACAGAACTGGGTGTGTGTACGTTTGAGATTTTTCTTAATAAAGTAATTAATAATCTGAATATTTATAATAAAGTATAAATTATTTTGCTCTTTATATCTCATTTATTTCCATAATTTATTATCAAGCATAATGATTTAAAAAAGGTTAGTAATTTCCTGCACGCAGGCAAGCTTTTCTAAAATTTTTCACATAGCAGCTACTCGATTTCCTCTTTTTAAAAATAAAGTTTTGTTTTGAAATACTTGGGCCATGCTTTGGTCTGGTTAATATAAATCTGAGTTTATTTACTTACGTCTTTTGTTTATCGAAGAAAGCAGACGTTGAATTGAGCTGTTTACTCGCAATGGCGTCGTCGAAGAGAACTCGTACTGGTAGCCTAGGCGGTTTCATCCAATCCCAAATATAACGAGGGGGCCAGCTGCACACATGGTCGCTATAAAAATAGGAGGGAAAATTAAAAATGTCTGGACTGTGTTGAAGTTTTTCTCGTTTTAAATGATCTTGAAGGATGCACGTTGAAGGTGAACGCTTAAGCTAATATGATATGGAGCGATGGATTTGCGAATATAATCCAAATCATAAAATTACTTTTACGATCGTTTTATGATCAACTTGTCATGTCAGCGGTGGACAACTCCTACTGCTTTCTTTAATAGGGGATAAAGAGATAAGGTTTATATTTAAACCTCTCATTTTGAACTCGCATTAACCGCCTTTAGGCATATTGTCATTTTTGTGCTTATAATCTCTCCCCTTGATCTCAGACTGTGTCGCATCGGATGCACCTCTTTCGACCTAATCCGATTTCGTTCATTATTCGAACATAAAACTCCTTAGTTTTATTTTATAAAAAGCAATAACCCGCTGCAGTCAACTACAAGCAAAGCAACAAAATGCAGACATTTTATTTAAATTTTAATTTAAAACCTTGTCTTTTCCCCATTCCGCATACATAATAAAACTGGCGGCCATTCGTGTCTCGGCAAACTGGATGCAATCGCTGTAAATTAGCATTAGCGTCTACTAACTTCATGCTATTTGTGTCAAAATAAGCCCACGAACTTCTCGTCCTGCCAAGACAAGCCATTTAACTTGATATTAGCGACATAACTGGACGATATAAGTGCGCCTTATTTGCACATTTAAAAATGCGAAATGCCATGAGAACGGAATCCCACTCGGACGCCATGGCTGCACACAAGAAACTGATGCTAAAATGTATGGTTCCAAATTTTATTTTTTATTATTTTAGCATTTTACCTAAGAATAAAAAATAATAAACACAGAATCACAAAAGTTGTAATTATTTTGAACTATTTTAAAGCTTCATATCTCATTATTGAAGAGATGGTTTCAATTCTGTATAATTACTGTTACTGTACTATTAATTAATCAATAAATACATTGTTTGAGACAAAAATTTCGAAAACAGAGCTTGAGCATAATTTTCATGGCAGCTTTTAAATAAAAAAATAAGATATTTGAATATTATTTAACAAGTGTTTTATTTTTGTATAACAATTAAAGTTTATAACTATAAAGCCAAACAAAAATTGTTATTTACAATAGAGTACCGTAAGGTAGAATTTTATAGAGCGACATCAGCTTTGTTTACAAAACGACGTTGTAGGGCGAGATTTGCATTAGCTAGAAAGCTGTAAAATTCTTTTACAAACGATTTTTATATTATTTTTTAGCCGACAATCATTTTTTAATTTTTTTTAGAGTAAAAGTTAAATTTGAATAGTTGTCTATGGTTTTACTAGGTGGCGCTAGAAAAGTAAATGTTTTTATTGCATTTTTAAAATAAACAACAACAAAAATAATGGTAATTCTGGAAGTAGTAGGTAGTTTATTTTTTAATGGTGGCAAATAGTCCAGACTGCAGTTTTTATCGCATTTTGCTTAACATTTTACAACACCCTTTGTTAAAATTGAGTTTGTGCTTCTGAATAGATAGCGTTGATAGTTATTTTACAATTCATGAAACTAAAAAGTTTATTTTGAGTTTTTAAAATCTAATTTTTACTTATGTTTTAATTTCAATAGTTGTATAGTAGGTAAACA